GCAATGCATTAGCGCTAATCAGTGCGGGCATGTTTACATCACCGGAGTGGGGCGTGTTGCACACAATACCTTCCCCTGGGAAACTTAGGACTCTCAAGGGGGTTCCGCTTGCCGAGCGATTTTGTCACCCGTGACACTTGCTGTAATATTGTTTTGCACATTATAATGGGCCTTTTCCACTTCAATTAACATTGTAATTTATTTTTTTCCCATAAATTAAATAGGCACTTTTACTTAATTAATACGATTTGTTTAGACCAAATCGTGCAGATTTGCTTTTACAGTAGCTGTCAATATTATAACAGTTTTATAACAATTTTCGACCCGTGTAGGCCTATGTTACCTTTTTTGACTCTTTTTTTCCCTTCTAACTCTAAAGAAGATTAAAAACAGATGGGCAAAAAGAATGGGTCAAAAGAAAATGTCATTTAAATGTTATCTATTGTAATTTTGACAAACGAGACATTTCAAGTGTGATCTATGAGGACAGGGCAAAAATAAAAACCTGAACTGCTCACCATAGACGTTCACATTAAAAATTTTGTTTGAAACTTTGTTGGCACGGGCGATGAGTAGTTCATACAGTCCATTCTGCGTAGTCGTGATGCTTGTGATGGTGAGCGACCCGGTTTTGTAGTCTAACTGGATTCTGTCTCTGAAAATCTCATTGCCACCAGGAAAAGAGATGACCTGCTTAGTCATTTGGGCTATACAAATGTCTGAACTTCTAAGCCAAATCCACTGTACGCGTTTATCTGTCCGTATTTCAGTACGTCCAGTGTGTAGAGTGACCGAATCTCCCTCCATCGCTGATACCGTCTCTGTTCCACCTGTCTGAGGACCAAACACACCTGGAGAACAGACAAGAAACCATTACAGTTATTAAATGTGGTGCTCAACAAATGCTGCTCTCTATATTACTTGTTGTCGATAAATTGGATCGTTTTGATTTCATTGGTTAACTGTTCCTTTATGAACTCTTCCAAAAGACAGATACTGTAAATAAATAAAAAATATTTTTAAAAGCAAAACAGCAAGAATTAAAAGACATAAAAACGTACCCACTAACAGCCAGATGTTTAAGCCAAGAGCACATGTGTAAGCCATATTTTCCAGCAGTTGGATGACCAATGCTTTGGCAGTTTTCTGTGAAAATGATTGATTCTTGCTATAATAATGCAGGTGAGGGGTGTTGGTTGTAGTTGTGCAAATGCAGAACTGAGAACCACTGCTTTTAATTCTGAGTACAGGAAGAAAGGGACGTTGCTATAGGGTTTCTGGGTCCCTGATAGTTCATCGCATATGGGGGTCGTGTAGTTGTTAACCAAAGAAACATAACACTACTTTCAAGGCGACTTCTCATTTCACACTAACTGAACTATTACTGTCGTTCTTTGACCATCATTTCCTCTTTCAGCATTCCAAAACCACGCACAATGTTCAGTGTTTGTGCTGTCATGATCTCCTCCTGAGACCCTGCGGCCTCTTATGAGGACATTACATTTTTGCCTCTTGACACAATGATAGTCAAATTTGTAAATCTTAGACATGTTGGCCACATTTAGGGGCACTGCCCACACCATCTTGTAGTGATACCACAACATTACACCAATGTCAGTGAGAAGAAAATTACCCTAACCCTAACCCTAACACTTCTACACCAGTTCCCGAAAGAAAAATGACCCAGGTAAAAAATCTATTCAAATTATATGAATGAAACAAATGTATCTATGTACAATACTGTCTCTATCATCATATGGGGATTAAAATTTGACATATTTTAGTAATAGTAGCACTCTAGGACATCAGTGAATATGAAGTACTCGTTTGAGGACATTGGGACTATATTACGTTATCCCCTTAACTGTCACCGTCCCATGTGGGACGTTTGCCCATATATATTTAGAACAATAATATCTTAGTAAAAACCTAAAGTAATATTGACAAACTAAATATCATTTGAAAGCTTACAATCTCTAGTTTTCATATTTGGTGGCTGTTTTTTAAAATAAATTACAGAATAGCAGTAATTTATCAATTTGCAACAAGAATATTTCATATTCATTAGGCGTGTTTAGGCCTTTATTTAGAAATAGAAAAAAAACATGAAAAATCATGAAAGATTGGTAGAAACCTCAGTTTGTTTTCATGCCAAGAGTTCAAAAGATAACACTAATTAAATGTTATGAGAAAAAAAGGTCTGAAAATTTTTAGAATATAAAGAAATATATTATGATTTCTCGATTTGTGATGCAGCAGCGAGCTATAATGCACATATGTGCTCTTTTTATGTTTATTAGAGGTTGAAATCAAATCAAATACTGCCAAAACACCCATACTATTTCTGAATAGGACGTATACTTAATAAATTGTATGAAATTATGGAAAGACATGGTTCAGATCACTCAAAACATATGAAAATGGAGACACCCTTATATGGTCAGTAAGGAAGCTGGCTGTCCATCTAGTGAAAAAGTTTGGTACTATGCCCAAATAAAATCTTACTGAAAGCTCATTTTTTGAGATATCAACCTAAAATTTGGAACACAACTTGTTTAGATTTGTGGCTTTAATTTTCTAGCAGTTTTAGAGTAACATATATTTTATAATATATATATTTTATATAAAATATAAATAATTATATTTTTACATTCTATATTTTCATAAACTCAAACTTATATAACTTTTTTTCTGTTTCACTTTCATAATTTATTTCACTTCTACAATAATCTGGCAAATGTATTCTTAAAAACAAGACCAACCATATGTCTATATTCCAAAGCATTCTTGAATTACAACCATTTTACAACCACAAGTTTTTTTTTATTGCTAGTACTGTGTCCTCACACGAGGACATCATATGGTAAATCATAGACCCACTGTCCTCACATGAGGACATCATTTTCTGCAAAAACTACTTCCTGTACAAACACAAATTTTAGTTATTATATTTATTAGGTCCTACTTATCCCAAATAGCAAGAACAATTATAAAATGCACACCAGGCAAACTCTCGGGTCTCAGGAGGTTAAGTTCAGAATGAACAATAATTTAATTTAATCAGTCATTTTAATCTCAAAAGAGTAATAAACTATTAACTGTAACTTTTCTTAAAGGAACATGTCACCCATTTATTTACTCTCAAATTGCCATGATTGTTTGATGAAGGTTCAGTCTATTGTCATTCGCATAAACATTATAATACATTTTAATTTAATACATTTGATAAAGTCCAGAGTCTGTGGTTCTGATGTTCCTGATGGTCAGAGATCCAATCTGATTGTCGATCTGCGGTCTGTCTCTGAATATTTGATCACCATAATTTATCATTTCACTCGTCTTCTTATCAAGATGAATGTCTCTATACAGCTGCAAGTCTCCATATAACTTATATAACGTCTGTGTATATCACTAACATCAGTATGTAGGTCAAGTTTGGAGGCCAAGTGGGCCACATTTAAACCACATAAAATGCCACAAAGGGCCACAAATTATAACTTTCAATGCAAGACTTTTTATTTATTTAGACCTAAGACAATATTTCTAGTATAGTTTTACTGAGTATTTACAAATGCAGTTTATTGTCTAGCTACTGTAATTCTTACTAGTCCTTTAATCGTTGTGCTATATTTAAAGTGTCACTGAATATGAAAAAAAAAATGGCATAAAAAAGGATTAATAGTTTGCTTTAATAGTCTCGCTTTATTCTTGCAAAAATACTGCCAAAATGCATTAAGAAAAACATTCTTGAGCAAATAAACTTAACAAGAACTGATGAAAATAAGTTCCTACTGAAAATTATGCACTGTTTTCACAAGTGATTTCAGGTCTGGTTGTTGCTCACTGAAACAATCTGTCAGTGAGACGAAAACTGCACCTTTTATGGTCTTTTTATACTCCGTTGCACCTTTTTAATACCTTTATAGTGCCTTTTTATACTCAGGGTTGCTTTATAAAGGTTTAATTATTATTATGAATTATTACCTTTTAATTTGGTTAGAATACAAAATCAGTTTTTTGTCACTGTCTCTCTTTCTCACTGTCTCAGACTCTCGTATCCTCTAAGTATAGCCTAACCAACAGTGTAAACACGAAAAATAAGAGATTCTCCGTGAGCTCAATGAAGTGACAGCTCTGTAATGGGAGCGCTCTCTGCTTGCTTTATGTTTATAACACATTGACATAAGAATAAACGTTTTGTTTTTCATACTTCTAAGAGGATCATCGGCCACTTATGTAAACACTACAACGTTTCATTACTTCGTTTTTAACGTACGCGCACAGTCTCGCGCATTCTTGAGTGAACAGGTGCTCGACACATGCGCACTAGAAAGATTCGTCCTTGTCCAGTCTCTGCGCTTTTTCGCTCCAAAAGTTTACGATAATAAATGTCTTAATACTCGTTTAAAACAGAGTTGCTGGTATCTTTAATTTCCCTCACACAAGTGCTCATCAACACGGGCGGCTATTTTGTTTGTTTTTAGAAGAAAAAAAAGTTTTTTTAGACTGTGAAACAATGGTCCGTAGTGTTGAGTCTGACACCTTGTGGACAAACTAAATTAGTGTTAGAATATTACACTATTGGAGTAAAGCAATATTCTTTATATGAAAAAAAAAAAATCGCACCAATTCCAAGAGCTGACTGAGACTTTGTCATCACCATCTAGTGTTCCTGCTTTTTTTAACCAATGGATTTCAGCGACCTTTTTTTCAGTAGTTTGTGAATCATTTTAATTTGCTAATCAGTAGAGCATTTTGTGAACTGTTTGACTGATTGAGTCAAAAGAACAATTTAGTCAAAACTTGAACATCACTGGTATAAATGCAAGCTTTAGCCTACTCCAAACAAGATCAATATTTAGTTTATGAAATATTTACAACAGAAATAAAATGTATATTCAAATTTCCATATTTACATAAAACGATTCATTTTCTATCCTGATTTTGTAAAAATTCTCTGATATTTCCAGGTTTTCTATTACTGCCGTGAGTGCCGTCATTCAGGGACTGACTGATGTTTTCCGCTTTTTTTCAGCTCTTCTGGATCTGATGTCATAAACCACTATGGTAACAGTAGCCACGCCCACCACAGCAGAGATGACCAATCGAATCACAGCTTCAATGAAACCACAACAGTGGACGCGGTCTGAGGACAGAAGAAGTTTTATTGAGAACCTGCAACTACTTTATGACAAACTCACCAACAACATCTCAACTGGAAGCAAAACCATTTGTCTGTGGTACTTCTGTAAATATTAATTATTATCACCGCTGATGTTCAGTACCTGCACATGTCTGACAGAATTGACTGATGTCCAGATGTTTGGTCCAGTTGCTGATAGGATTGTTCAGCACACAACTGTAAGTGTTTTTATCCTGATATTCCACCTCCAGAGGTAGAGAGACGCTCCTGATGAGATCAGACACACTGATGCTGGACAATAAACTGTTTCCTTTGTACCAGGAGAGAGTCACATGACTCACATTCACAGCTGAACACATCAGTGAACAAATCTGGCTTGATGATGATGATGAACAGTTTGAAGAGTCTCTGGTGATAATGGGAATGGGCAGACGAGCTGAAAAATATAGATTTAAAAAAAACAAATTAAATTCATAGAGGGTGAGTAGTGTGGGACTTCTCTATGGGCCTCGAGTGAGTTCACGTAGTGTAACAGCGCAGCGCTTCTGTGTTGTACGTCACACGCATCACACACATGACCAGCGTCGGCCAATAGTGAGCCTACGTGTGACGAACAACACAGAAGCGCTGCGCTGTTACACTACGTGAACTCACTCGAGGCCCACAGAGAAGGAAATTAATAGTTGAATTGTCGTTATTTTTGTTTGTTTATTGCGTAACAAAAAGTACTCTCATCGCTTGATAAACTTGAGATTGAGCCACTGTAGTCACTTGGACTATTTTAAAGCTGCCGTCGGCAACATTTTTTTGATCATATTCAGTGAAATCGACACTATAATCTGACAGAACAACATAAATAAAGTGGTTTTAGAAAAAAACCCGAGCTTCTAACTCCACCTGGAGCGTGTTATTTGTTTTGCAAAAATCCACAGCTCCCGGTTCATCATGTCCAATCAGCGCAGGGGGGTGTGAGATCTGACTGTCAATCACAGATCGGGCACACGCCACCCCTCGCGCACGTTACAATCACATGCACACGCCTGAAGTTCGCGCAGTAACGAAGAGTGATGGCGGAAAATCAAGTACGCTCATTTAGAGTATAAATGACGTTAGCAATTGCAATCTATCGGTAGATTAGCCAGGACAGCATACCTCCAAATACTCCATGGTGTTGATGGATGCTGATGAGACGGGCGCGTTCCAGGGCTCTCAAGTTTTGAAGACAGGTAAGAGTGACACCCAGCCGACGGGGGGTTGGATACATTTTTGTCATTGGTTGTTGCGTTAAATCTTACCCAGATACAATAGTGCTATTTTCTGATTGGCTATTGTGTAGCTCGACGAACAACACCAGAGGAAACACGCTTGATTCATGCCGGTTCCACAGTGAGAGCGGCGCGGCCAGAGTTTTGGGTGCTGCGGCATATTAAATATATTTCAAATAGTTTTTCAGCGTGAGAAATACAATGTGTGGCGGGAGAGCGTGACAAAAGACCGAAATGAGTGACTGTCACGCTCAATGCGTGACACTTGAGAGTCCTGGCGTTCACTGAAAATCTGGTGCACACGCACTGACGAGCATGAACTGGGTGGGAGGGTATCCGTTGATAGTAGGGGAGGGGCATGAGAGTTGTAAACATTCAAAATTTTCCTAAATCCACTCAATCTGCCAGACTTGCCGACTGGAGCTTTAACAATGTCTTTAATAACTTTTCTGGGCAAGTTTCAATCCCTTAGAAAGCCTATGGAGGAGTGATCCAGCTCTCAGATTTAATCAAAAATATCTTAATTAATTTGTGTTCCGAAGATGAACGAAAGTCTTACGGGTTTGAATTGGATCACATGAGGGTGAGTAATTACTGACAGAATTTTCAATTTTTGGTGTACTATCCCTGAGATATAGCTACTTGTGTTAGATATTGGATGTATTCCAAGTACTGTCTGAGTAATGTTTCTCAGAATTAGTGTTTGTTTATAAAATGTTTCTCTTTTCCAGAAACGGTGCTTATAAGATGTTAGATATGGTATTTGAAAGTGCTTGCTTGCTTCGCTTTCTTTGTTCTGAAGGTGTCAAAACCACACCTTATATAGCCTATCTATTTCCATCTATCTTTGCAACCATATTTAGCATTCGACTGGTCATGCTGAACTAGCCGTTACACCAATAATAGGCCAATCATTTTTAGCTTCTTTTTTTTCAGACCTTCGGAGTTTATCACAGCAAGCTTTCAAAGAAACAAATGCATAAATACTGTCATGTCAACTATTTTCTGGCACATGATGTACAATAATTTAGCAGTACTGCTGTCAATTAATATTCTTATATTACAACTGTAAATGAAAATATGACTTCAAACTCAATACTCACCATACACAGTAACATTGAATAACAGCCTGTATTTCATCATGAGTTGATAAAGTCCAGAGTCTGTGGTTCGGGTGTTCCTGATAGTCAGAGATCCAGTTTGATTGTCGATCTGTAGTCTGTCTCTGATTCTCTTGTCGTTAAAATATGTAATATCAGGTCCCCCCCCATTAAATTGAATGATTATAATAGTATTTTCAGGTCCAAATCTCCACTGTACATAAGGTTTATATCTGATAGTATCATCAGTGTGTAGAGTGACAGAATCTCCCTCCATCGCTGACACTATATTTACTCCATCTGTATCAGAACAAAACACACATAACAAGATCCCAAAAATGAATGTTCAGTCGTCAGCCTGCTGAAGTAGAAATTAACAAAAGCCAAAAAACATGTTTAACTCACCAACCAAATGTAATAAATACAAGGAAATAAATGCACAAAACATTGTTCAACCGTATGAGATAGAGGAAGTCTTATAAAGGAACTCTTCTGTCAGTAACTCCTTCAACCGTACTTCATTTGGCTAAAAGTCTGTTCCTTAATCTCTAGTCATGTGTTCCTTACATTCCATGTTAATAGGCTACCTGCTAAACAACCATTTTAATCGACAGTTTGGCACCGCAAAGACTTGCGGTCTTTTATGTGGAAAAGGAATTGTGTAATTTGCACATTTGAGCAAACACATTTACAAGGTTGTGGTCACTGTTAACAGATTTTTTTTATTTTTTTATTTATTGGTTATTGGGTCATTTTCACCATGTCTGATTGTCTATTTCAGACGGGGGAAAATATCCATATTTACAGTCAGTTTACAATTTTGATTCTGTATTCAATAAGTGTTTGTCATAAAAAGGACAAAATAGTTGATTCCTCAACTTTAGCCCAATTGGATTGAACTCTAGAAATACAACTGTAATATTTATGAGTTGACTCTATATATAGTTTAAGAATCCTTAGGAACTGGTGCTTTTGTTTTAACAACTCTTTTGTATGTTTTGATTGACTCATAGCAGTGAATTAGTGGTTGGGTTACTTTTTGTACAGAGCGTTACACAGTATTTGTTTATATGTGTCTCTCCCCTAAGCTGCTCATGATTTGTTTGTGGTTTAGTGCGTAACTTTTGCACCCAATTCCGGCGCAGTTTGTTTCTTGTGAGATTCCTCATTTAAAACGGAAGCAGCGACTCGAATGATTTCCTAATTTTACAGAAAATAACAGATTTTTCTTTCATTTTCTTTAATTTTAAATTGTACTCAAAACTCTGTAAAACTACAAATAATATCCGTAAAATAAAAATTCAGCTGTATTGTGACATTAATGACAAATTGCAGTAATTTATATTTTTTATACAGAAAATGTAGCCTACTGTATCTTTCATTAAATAAAAATATATGTAAAATTATAAATATAATCTGTAATTAAACAGTAACAAAACAGTTAAATGATAAAACGGTCGAATGACTGGCTGCCCAAAAAAACCTGTAACATTAAAGTAAAACATCCTAAATTAAATAAACTGAAAAACACTGTAATTTTACAGGTATTTCCTGCATCAAATACCTTAATTGTCAAACAAAAACCATATAAGTAAAGTAAAATATGCTAATTTAAATAAAGTGCAAAAAACGTTAAGAGAAATTTTATGTCATCATGATGGAGATCAGCTCATGACTCTTGAATTGTTAACATTAGGTTTTTCCTGGCTGCTTTAGCTGTATTTTTCAATACACAATTGTAATGGCAATAAATGCAGGAGAAAAGAACATCAGATGATGTTGGTCACTTATTGGTGATGTATAGTCATCATATGGTGGCCTGATTCATTGATATGACTTTGAATCAAATCTCTGAGTATATTAGCTGAGGTTACATAATGTATATTGAGAGCATATGATTATTGTCACAATTTTTCACATGATGATATTGTGGCATCATTATTATGACAATGTGATATTCTGAAATTAAAAAAGATATATACTGTATATTATACAGAACATGTTTTGAGCTAAGAATCAACATATGAATCTCAACTAGGTGACAATCAACAAAGTCTTTTTGTGACTTTAGTAGCTTGTTTTGTGACGAGTTCAGAGTTGATCTGAAATTTTTTCATTGTCACCATTGTTGCGATTTATATGCTGATTAATGATGTCTGTGTGAGTCTATATGATCCTGTCAAAACATTTTCTGTATAATGACTTCATAAAATCTTTCAGAGTATCAGAGCACTGCAGGATTTTCTGCAGCAGTATTGGGATGCAAAATTGAAAACCAAAATGTAATGATTTAATCAGATATCAAACTTCAGGAGGTATCAGTTAATCAGACCATTACATGATGACTATCATCACTAAAAAGTGACCAACATCCTCAGTTTCTCTACAAATATGTATCAGGGACACACAGTTAAAGCAGCCAGAGAAAAACTGGCGTTAAAAAGTCAAGAGTCAAGAGCCCAACTAAACCAAACACTGATCACCATATTGGCGACATCAAACTTTATTATTTTCAATAAAACATCAACTTCTAAACCTGTTAATTCTCAATAAGAATGAAAGAAATAAAGTCTGGATTGTAATAAGTGAGATGCAGAGATATTGAGAGAACACTGTTAGTGTTTAATGTTCTGTTGTTTCTGTATTGTCTGTTTTGTGGGTCAGGATTAGCAGAGAAACACTGAAGATATGCTGCATGTTGCTTTATTTAACTGACAGTAACTGTGTAGTTGTGGATGCAGTGACGTACAGTCACAGTAAATCATGCATGTTAACTGCAAGATATTAACAATAACTGTGTTTCTGTTCAAAAGTTTAATGAAGATTTCTGTAAAAGTCTTTTGCACTTTATTTAAATTAGGATATTTTACTTTATTTTTATGTTTTTTGTTTGGTAGCTGACAGACATTGACCGTTTTTTTAAAAAGATTTTATTTTTTACAATGTAGGCTATATGTCATTTAAAGGGAAAATTGTGAAATGTCTCTATACACTAGACAAATTTGGACATTTGCTGTTATAACATGGTCTTTGTGTCATGTTTAAAAAAAAAAAGCATTTAGTGTGTTATAACTACTGCAACCTTTCTGCTGCTCCACGCATCTTTCTTTTCAGAAGAGATGACTCAATATTTACAATCTAAAAATGTAATTCTGTTTATAAGGCCAAAATGTTAAAACATTATTCCACGTTCAATCAGGTTAAGCATTTGTGACAATTTTGATTGCAACAGAAAAAATGATTCTGCTACTAATCCTCCTGTTTCTGACTATCTTGAGAAGAATGCCAATAGTAGATCTTCTATAGTTACCTGATTATGATCCATCGTCCCCATCTGTTTCATGCTCTTTGTCATCAGTTTGAGTCTGTTTCTCTCACAACGTTACCAGAGATTGTTGAACATTTGAAGCCTCAAGATATTATTCCTAAACACATTTTTAATGTTATTGGCCCAAGGACTTTGGCTTGATATATAATAAATTGCTGCCTGTCTACAGGTGTTGTACCTGCTTGTTTTAAACAATAGTGCAGTCTATTATTAAAAAACCTTATTTGGACCTTACAGAATTTTCTCATTTTAGACCGATTTTAAAAACTAAAGTTCTAGAGAAAGTAGTTTTCATCCGACTACAGATCTTCTTGCAGATAAATTCCATGTTTGAAGTTCTTTAGTCAGGTTTTAGAGCACAACATAGTACTGAATGAATCAGTTTATAATAATATTTTATGAAGCGTTGATTCCGGAGATTCTGCAATCTTGGTATTATTATCTTAGTGCAGCATTTGATACAGTATCATAGAGGCTTGGTTTCTCGTCTGCACTATGTTGGTTTTCGAAGAGTGGCCCTTCAGTGTTAAGTCTAATAACAGAAGCTTTGCTGTTTATCTGGGTGAATTTTTATCAACTCCAGCTCCACAAACTTGTGTGGGGTTGTTAGCATTTGAGCATATAAAATAATCTCCGTTGATGATGAACATACTCAAAAGAACAATACAGTCACAATTTGATCATGGCTTTCAAGCAAGTTTTACTCAAAACAATATCAATAGTTTATGAAAAAAATTACAGCAAAAAAAGGTATACTCAAATTTCCATTATCTTTTCATTAAGACTTTATTGATTTCCTGTCCTGGAATTGTAAAATTCTCTGATATTTCCAGGTTTTCTATTACTGGCGTCATTCAGGGACTGACTGATGTTTTCCGCTTTTTTTCAGCTCTTCTGGATCTGATGTCATAAACCACTATGGTAACAGTAGCCACGCCCACCACAGCAGAGATGACCAATCGAATCACAGCTTCAGTGAAACCACAACAGTGGACAAAGTCTAAAGACAGAAGAAGAGGTTTTATTGAGAACTCACCAACAGCATCTCAACTGGAAGCAATTGCTGTAACACATGGTTATTTATTACGTTTTGTAAGATGAGTAAACATCATACGCACACAGCTCTGATCAAATATTTTCTTCACCTTCTCTCTGACATATCTCCCTCCTCAAGAGCACCGCCTATTTTCAGGATGGGTTTCAGTCTACATTTGTCTGTGGTATTTATATATAAATGTAGTAATATCAATGCTGATGTACCTGCAGATGTCTGACAGAATTGACTGATGTCCAGATGTTTGGTCCAGTTGCTGATAGGATTGTTCAGCACACAACTGTAAGTGTTTTTATCCTGATATTCCACCTCCAGAGGTAGAGATAGACTGATGCTGAGATCAGACACACTGATGCTGGACAATAAACTGATTCCTTTGAACCAGGAGAGAGTCACATCACTCACATTCACAGCTGAACACACCAGTGAACATTTAGACACTAACGATGATGAACCATTTGAAGAGTCTCTGGTGATAATGACAGGTATGGGCAGACGAGCTGGAAACATGAGAGAATAATGTAAAATAAATTATAATATAGGCTACTATAGAAATATTCTGGGATAAATAAATTTGAGCTCTGTCAACAATGTCCTGCTGTCAATTCATATTTCTAACATCGACATAATATTTAAAAATATAAATTATTTAAAATGATTGTTAAAATATGGCAAGGAAAGAACACATTAAATTTACCTACTCACCGTAGACGGTAACATTGAATGATTCTCTGAAGAACGCACCGTACATTTGATAAAGTCCAGAGTCTGTGGTTCTGGTGTTCCTGATGGTCAGAGATCCAGTCTGATTGTCGATCTGTAGTCTGTCTCTGAATATGTCTTCATCATAATACATAATATCATATGTCTCCTCATCAAACCAAAAAACTCTGACTATCCGAGTATTTTCAGGACCAATCCACCACTGTCTATTATGTCTGTGTTTATTACTAACATCAGTGTGTAGAGTGACAGAATCTCCCTCCATCACTGTCACTATCTTCACTCCATCTGTGTCAGAACCAAACACACATAGATAATCATATTAAATAACAGTTCATGTAAATCCTCTCACTGTACTAAACCTGAAGTCATAAATCATGTTTAACTCACCAACCAGATGCCAGAGACAGAAGAAAATAAATGTGTAAAACATTTCTTCAAAAGTATGAGATTAAAACACTCCAAAAATCTGAAGAAAGGAACAGAAATGTGTCATTAATCTCAAATAAAGTCTGCTAATCGTTTTATACTGTAGAGTCTAATGAGGAAGTAAGAATGTCTCCTTCAGTCTTCACGGCTCGGTTAGATGTCTGTTCCTCAATCTCTGAGTCACGTGTTACAGTCCATACAGCACAACTTAATTTTTTGGCCTATTATTAACAAAATGTATTTAAACAACTATTTATTTATTTATTCATTTTCACATCTGCATCTTAAATTTAAGTTGTGATTGGCTCCTAAATGATTGGTCACATGACATTTATACTGCAGGTGATTGGCTATAATACCCAGGGGCGTAATTTGTGGGGGGATGGGGGGGATATAACCCCCCCAATATTTAAATCTATGCATTACAACCCCCCCATTATTTATACCATGATCACAATATCAGGAGGCATACCCAAACTTCAACCCCCCCAATGTTCAAACCAAATCTACGCCCTTGATAATACCTCACAGCAAAACTAAGAGAAAAGACTGAAAGGCCGTGTACTTCTTCAGCTGCTAGTGAGATGAATGAACGGCTTTCTCCAGATATTATAGACCTCTTGGATGATATAGTCTCTGTTTCACAGAAAGGCTGTTTTGTAAGGCAAATGTGAGGTTCAAATTAGCTGAAAAGCAGTCCAGCACTCAAAAACACAGTCACACTAGCCTATTGAGCTCATGCATTAAAGGAAGTGACTTTCACTCTTTTATCTGTGTTGCTGCCGCCAGCATTTTTAGACTTCTCACTTTCTAAATTTGTTCTAAATGGCCATTTTCTGCATATCTTTTTTCAGCACAATGTAACAAATTTCACTTTAATAATTGATTGTACCTGTTATTCACGAAGAAAACAGTAGTTGGCACTGTAATCATATGTTACAGATGCTGTGCAAGAGGCAGAACTAAATTTCCTGTAGAGTTGATAAAACGTTGACTCACTTGGATTGATTCATATTCTTTTATTTTTCATTATCACACTGATACAGATTCTTTAGCATTTGAGATTGTAAAATGATCTCCAGGAAACCCTTCAAATCTACTGGGATTCAAACAAACAACCTTCAGTTCCTGATGCTCAGTTCAAACTGGTTGCATTCAGCCCTGACTGAACAAGCAAATTATACACAAGAATTTGTAATATTGTTCAATGTCATGCTTTAGATTTTAATTGTCTTTGAAGAAGAAAAGAAGTGCAAAGCAAATATTTTTTATAAATATATATATATATTTTAAAGGTTTTCTGTGACTGGGAATCCTGACATATTGCACAGATGTGAAAACATGTGGATCATTATTCATGGACTGACTGGGATGTTCTCCGCTTCTTTTCAGCTCTTCTGGATCTGATGTTATAAACCACTATGGCAACAGTAGCCACGCCCACCACAGCAGAGATGACCAATCGAATCACAGCTTCAGTGAAACTATAACAGTGGACGCGGTCTGAAGACAGAAGAGGTTTTATTAAGAACCTGCTCCTATTTCATAACAAACTCAACAACAGCATTATTGCAACAGAAAGAAGAACAATGTTTGTGGTGAGTTTTTTATAAATAATTATTAACATCTCCTATGATGTAGCCTACCTGGATGTGTCTGACAGAGTTCAGTGATGTCCAGATGTTCAGTCTGGTCAATGAATGAATTGTTCAGCACACAACTGTAAGTGTTTTTATCCTGATATTCCACCTCCAGAGGTAGAGAGACGCTGCTGATTAGATCACACACACTGATGCTGGACAATAAACTGATTCCTTTGAACCAGGAGAGTCACATGACTCACATTCAACACTGAACGCAGCAGTGAACATCTGGACACTGATGATGATCCTGATGATGATGAAGAACATGTCGAATCTCTGGTGATGACAGGAATAGGAAGATGAGCTGGAAAACACGAGAGAATAATGTGAAACACATTACTATTTACTGTAGACATTTTCTGGAATAAATTAATTCATTTAAGCTTTATCAACATGATCCTTGGCCTGCTATCAATTAATATTGTTTTTAATATATTGACATAAAAGATTTCAAATGATTGATTGTTTAAATATGGCACATTAAATTCAACTACTCACCGTAGATAGTAACATTGAATGATTCTCTAAGAATGAAGATTGTATTTGATAAAGTCCAGAGTCTGTGGTTCTGGTGTTCCTGAAGGTAAGAGATCCAGTCTGATTGTCGATCTGCGGTCTGTCTCTGAATATATGATCACATTCACCATAATATATCATTTCACCTTTCTTCCCTTCAAGCCCCATGACTCTAATGAGTATCTTCAGCTTCAAAACTCCACTCTATATGACGTTTAGGTCTTGGTTTGCCACTAACATCAGTGTGTAGAGTGACAGAATCTCCCTCCATCCCTTTCACTATCTTCACTCCATCTGTATCAGAACCAAACACACATAGATAATCAGATTAAATAACAGTTCAAGTAAATCCTCTCACTGTACTAAACCTGAAGTCATGAATCATGTTTAACTCACCAACCAGATGCCAGAGACAGAAGAAAATGAATATGCAAAACATTTCTTCAAAAGTATTAGATTAAAACACTCAACAAATCTGAAAAACGTAATTTCAAGTCTTCACATCTCTATAAATGGTTTTATGTCGGTTCCTCAAACTAGTCAAGTGATATCAAAATTAATCACCATCTGCTGGTGATTTTAGTGTCTCATTGCATAATAATGAAGTGTCCAGTCTAATGAAGAAACTTCTCATTTTAAGCTTTCCCCACGCCTCGAAACAGCTGTTCCTTAAACTCTAAAACAAGTCACTTGTCAAATTCCACTAGAACTAGCGGCACCACTTTTTTTGTCAGTTTAATTCTTTTTCACAGTCTATGGTTTTATCCACATTATTTTATTATAAGAGCTTTGCAACTTCATTGTGCAAAGCTTCCGGTGTCAAATCGCTTCCAGTTATTTATTTTAGCTGTACAAAAACAGGGTTTATCACAAGATTATGACACATTTGTATAATAAAAAAGCAAGAGTTAATTGACCCTTTTCACATTTCCGGTTTCTCCGAAGCGGAAGTCGTCATAGGTAAATTTCTATTATATTATAGCAGTGCAGAAAGAAAAAGAAAAACTTGTTTAGCGTTGAATGAGAGACTACATTTAATATATATTTTTGTGTTCCCATTTGCTCAAAAAGGCAAAAGTAAAACTCCAGAATAGTGTTTTCCCAACTTTCAAAAAGAGTTAACATATCAACTCACAGCCGCATTAAAGGATTAGTTCACTTTTAAAAAAACTTTTGCTGATAATTTACTCACCCCCATGTCATCCAAGATGTCCATGTCTTTCTTTCTTCAGTCGAAAAGAAATTAATGTTTTTGATGAAAACATTCCAGGATTTTTCTCCATATAATGCACTTTGCTGGGCACCAAACGGTTCAAGGTCTAAATGACCGTTTCAGTGCAGCTTCAAAGGGCTTTAAACGATACCAGACGATGAATAAGGGTCTTATCTAGCGAAACGATCGGTCATTTCAAAAATAAATAAAAAAGTTAAAGTTTTATATGCACAAATGCTCGCCTTGCTAACTCTCCTGTTCGAACTCGTTCATCAAAATGAACGAATCTTTTTTCGAGTCAATGACTCGAAAAAAGATTCGTTCATTTTGATGAACGAGTAAATGACTCGAAAAAAGATTCGTTCATTTTAATGAACGAGTTCGAACAGGAGAGTTCGCAAGGCGAACATTTGTGCCTATATAAAACTTTAACTTTTTTATTTATTTTTGAAATGACAGATCGTTTCTCTAGATAAGACCCTTATTCATCGTCTGGTATCGTTTAAAGCCCTTTGAAGCTGAACTGAAACGGTCATTAAGACCTTGAACCGTTTGGCTACCATTGAAGTCCATTATATGGAGAAAAATCCTGGAATGTTTTCATCAAAAACATTATTTTCTTTTCGACTGAAGAAAGAAAGACATGGACATCTTGTATGACATGGGGGTGAGTAAATTATCAGCAAAAGTTTTTTAAAAAGTGAACTACTCCTTTAACTAGTTTTTTTTTATTTTATTTGATGCAACGGTAATATAATACTAAGTAGGCCATAGTGTTATAAATATGCTATAGCCTACAAATCCTATATTTAAAATAAATAAATAATAATAATAATAATAATTTGTGCAGGATTTATGATTATGTCATCACAGTCTGCGAAAATTGTCCATAATCTTTTATTTGCCTGTTTAACCAAACTCCCCATAAACTACCCATACAATTTAAGAAAAAAACACATTATATAGAAACTTCCTAATTAATAGTATTAGTCTCTGTCTTTCTCTCTCTCTCTCTCTCTCTCTCTCTCATTCAAATGGGCAGTTTGGGTGGTCATACCGGGCGAGATCGGTAGTAAATAATGATAATAGGTGATAATTGTATTTAATAGATTACACTTTCAATAAACCATTTTTAAAGTGTTTGTAAAAAAGTGTTTTATGCTTGTTTGAGCTGAGTTTTCACTACCTTTACACCGTTCTGGTTCTGACTAGGGTTTGTGGTGTTTTGTTAATCAAGGAATATTATTCTTTTTTAGAATATTATTAGACTTATATTATTAAGTCTGCGACTAAATAGCATTCGAGTGAAATGAAGGAGAATTAGGGTGGATGGCAAATAGTTTTACTGTTTACTGCAGTTTATTGTTCTTATTGCTATAGCCTAATGAATCGGAAGTCTCGCACATTCGGGAATAAGTTCGCATAGAAGAGTAAGGTGATTTATTTTGAAAGATGGGTATTTGCTCAGTAGGTCCATGTCCATCCACCCTAAGTCTCCTTCATTTCACTCGAATACTATTTACTCTTAGACTTCAGTGAACGAAAAAATACAAACGATAATATTCCTTGATGAACAAAACACCACTAGCAGTTACACGCCTAAACATCAGATGGCGCAGATGAGTCGCGACTGTCAGAGGTAACAGCGGTCGAACAACAGATCGCGAAATGCTGCTGAATCGGCTGAATCTCTCTTGTTTACAGTCTGTATTCGATTTCTCTCTTTTTTTGACAAATAGGCAAACCATTTTAAAACGTTACAGAATAAGGAACTGTCAACTCGCTGGATTTAAAAAATAGGTACAGTAAAAATTGTTAGATAAATAGCTACGGATCTTCCTTATCGAAGAGAGTGACACTGATATCACAGGGACCAAGAATGACGCAGACACAGAAGTTTAGTTCACTCAAAGTCAAATCTTTATTGAAAGCCTTCAGATTATATACTACGAGAAAAGGTGTGAATGAACCACAGCCTTGATATAGATGAAGTCAGTGTGACAAAAACAATTAACATAAGAGACTCCATGGTATATCATGCGCAGTGGAAAAACACAGAGGACAATATTTGCAAACACTTCCTTCCAATTTAACAAACAATATGCTCATTACAATGACAACATAACATTTAAAAACATATCAGATATCACTTTTATTCTATAATTAACTTTTATTTTATTAGCAAAATCATGGTTTCTGTGTTATTTGGTCTTTTCAGGCATTTTAGCAGCTCAGGATGGCTTTGGTCCCCTATGATGAGAATGTACTTCCTGCTCTGTCAAAGCTTCACCAGACTTCAGCTGAATTTAATCTGGCCAATCACAGGATCAGACTCAGCCAGGACTGGAAGCGATTGGGTGTCGCTGCTGTGGTCTGGGACGCAGTAAGTTCAAAAATCATCATATGCATTGAAGGCTAGTACAGATCTGGACTGGTAAAGGATAGGTTGCAGGTTCGAATCCCACAAGACATGATCCATGAACTGTCACAAGTGTTTATTTTCGTGATTCAGAAGTCCATCCCTGTTTATTTTCCAGGCTGTAGTGCTCTGCATGTTTCTGGAGATGGGAAACGTGGATCTGAAAGGAAAGAAGGCTATTGAGCTTGGAGCCGGCACAGGTTTGGTGGGCATTGTAGCTGCTCTCCTTGGTAAGAATGAACGATTGATTATTTTCCTGACTAAATAAATTTTTTCTGGATTATTTTGGTCAGTACTATTCCATTCTTGCAGGAGCCAATGTGACAATTACGGACCGAGAACCTGCCTTGGAATTTCTGACTGCCAATGTGCGTGAAAACATTCCTCCCAGCCAGAAGGGGGCGGTACAGGTATCTGAACTTACCTGGGGTGAGAATCTAGATCTGTATCCCTCAGGCAGCTTTGATCTGATACTGGGAGCCGACATTGTTTACCTGGAAGAGACGTTTCCCGCTCTCCTGCAGACTCTTGAACACCTGAGCTCGGAGAACACGGTCGTGGTGTTGTCCTGTCGGATCCGATATGAGAGAGATGAGCGGTTCCTGATGGAGCTACGGCAGAGGTTCTCTGTGCAGGAGGTTCATTATGACTCTCAAAGGGACATTCACATTTACAGAGCCGTGAAGAACAGGACCAACGCCGAACTGTAAGAGCTTGCATTGAGGAAACTTTGGGTAGAGCTTCCTGTTTGTAATTCAAAGCATTTTAAGCTTTATAAAACATACTGAAGGTGATTAAATGACAATATTTAACAGGACCATGGTGATTTTTGCTTTATATGTTTGGCTTTTTGCAGGTCACTGCTTAGGCAGCAGGTGGCGCTGCTATACAGGCCTGGAATAATCTGGCCTTGTGCTAAAATAGACATCTGTCTTGCCTTCAGCATCTCTTTCTATTTATTTCCACTTGATTTTTAAAAGTGAGTACTTGGATTACTAGTTAAATGGATTATAATAATAATTAATTATTGTTATTTTCTATATACAATCCAAAACATATCTATTATTATAACTAATATAATTAAAGCTAATATAAAACAATTATTATCATAAAATAAAAAATATTTGTATTATCAAATTACTATTATTATTTATTTATTAAAAAATATTATTTAATAGAATTAATAATAATTATTATAGTATTATTATTATAACTATTATTGCTTTCTATATGCAATCCTAAATATTTTTATTATTATTAAAGTGAATATTATTTAAAGCTGTTATTAATTCTATAGATTTAATATGATATAAAATTATAATAATACAATAAATAATAATTAATAAAACTTTTATTGTTTTCTATACACAATCCTATATATATTAATTATAATTAATATTTATTATTTAATATTAACTAAATAATATATTTTGTATTATTCATTATTATTTAAGTATAATAATTATTATTATTAACTACATTTACATTTATTTACATTTACAGTCAGTCATTTAGCAGACACTTTTATCCAAAGTGATACCAGTGCCTTGAATTTGATACGAGCGGCAGTTGGCAACCAGTGCAATTTTATGAGGAGAGGTGTGATGTGCGCTTTCTTCGGCTTGTTAAAGACCACTCTGGCTGCAGCATTCTGGATCAGTTACAGAGGTTTGAAAGTGCAAGCTGGAAGACCAGCCAGGAGAGCATTACAATAGTCCAGTCTGGATAGAACAAGCGCTTGGACAAGGAGTTGTGTAGCATGCTCTGATAGGAAGGGCCTGATCCTCCTAATGTTGTATAAGACTAATCTGCAGGACCGGGCAGTTCTAGCAATTTGGTCTGTGAATCACAACTCCAAGGTTCCTGGCTGACCTGAATGGAGTTATGGTTGATGAACCTAGCTGAAAAAAGAAGTTGTGATAAAGAGACCTCAAGCAGTTCTGTCTTCGCAAGGTTGAGTTTAAGGTGATGGTCCTTCATCCAACAAGAAATGTCTGTCAGACAGGCTGAGATGCGAGCAGCTACCATTGGATCATCAGGCTGGAATGAGAGTTGTGTGTCATCAGCGTAGTATTGACAGGAAAAGCCATGTTTCTGAGTGACAGATCCTAGTGATGACATGTAGATGGAGAAGAGAAGTGGTCCAAGCACTGAGCCCTGAGGCACCCCAGTAGTTAGACGTTGCGATGTAGACACCTCACCCCACCGCAACACCCTGAAGGACCTACCTGAGAGGTAAGACTTGAAAAACTGGATTGTGGTTCCTGAGATGCCCTTCGCAATGAGGGTTGACAGGAGGATCTGTGTCAAAAGCAGCAGACAGATCCAGCAAGATGAGTACTGAGGACTTGGAAGCTGCTCTTACCTAGCCTAGAAATCTAGACGCACCCTAGCGGCAGCAAAAATTATTTTGCAGCAAAGTGTGGTCTAGCAACTCTCCGTTGGCTTTTCGAGCTGGAAAAACCAAACTCTGGTCAGGCCAATCACATCGTGTATAGAGTTGGTGGGCGGCCTTAACAATGACGGCAGAGATGTGACGGTTCCGCGTGATTTCCCTAGGTGATTTCCCTGCTAACGTTACTTGAAAACAAAAAAAGATGCTGCTGGCGAACAGCGGTCTTTCGAATCGGATTTGGCCGCGACTCTGGAGGACTTGGAGTTAAGAGAACGTAACTTAAGTCATTCTTAAAAAAGGAAGATGTGTTCGGAGTTTTGACGATCGGATACGGCAAAAGTTTAATATATCAACTAGCTCCGCTGGTGGGAAAACGCATGGGTCTCACACAGCCACAGCCGTTCCTTGCTCTGGTTGGTTGTAGCGCTGTCCTATTGCGTGCCGAGGGATATTGAAAGACAACCGTTTATCCCGCCCCTCGGATTGAGGTATGCCAATTGTGAGTTCCCAGAAATAACATCTTGATGTAGGTCTGGCTTGCCAGGCTAGCTCTTACCAGTCTCAGAGCTTCAATTACCGAGAGTAGGGCAGTCTCAGTTGAGTGGCCGCTTTTGAAACCAGTCCGGTTGTTGACCAGGAGGTTGTTCTGTTCTGTGTAAGAAAGGTAGAGACTTGGTTGAACACGACTCGTTCAAGTGTTTTAGCTATTAATGGAAGAAGGGATACCGGTCTGTAATTTTCTAGAAGTGCTGGTTTTAGAGTGGGTTTCTTAAGCAGTGGGATTATCCGAGCCTGCTTGAATGCTGTGGGAAAGGTACCAGTGTGAAGAGAGGTGTTGATGATATGAGTGAGTGCAGGTACAATTGAAGAAGCAAAGGCTTGATGAGATGAGTGGGGATAGGATCAAGCGGACAGGTAGTAGGGTGACTGGAAAGGATGATAACTATTGTGGGGTTTTTTCACTAAATACAATCCATATATATATAGTAACACACAACAGTAATTTGTTATGTTTTAGGACGTAGAAAGCCAAAGCCGGTTTTATGTTAGCTATGTTTTTGATGCATTAAACCTCAGATCAGAATCAGATACTTATCATCAAACTGACCCTTATCTTGGATAAACATGTGTCCAGTTTTATAACAGATAACCCACATCCTGTCAAGCGAATCAAAAACTCCAGCAAAGACTTTACCAGTCTTCAGGCTCTGAGATATTTCAAATGATTAAATAATTTGATAATTTAAAAAAGATTTCTCTTGTTTCCAATGGAGACTCGTAAATGCTATGATTCATTATTGTGTCATGGAATAATGATGGTTTTTTTTACAAATGAGTTATTACTGGACGCTAAGCGCCGTGACATCGTCCCTGATGCCACTAGAAGGTCGTTTACGCACATCACCTGTTAAAAGCGACACAATTTTGTACGTGCCACACCTGTAAGAGGATGTTTTAATGCACCGCGGCCCATGCTGCATTAGGCCGGATCGAATTTAAGTGAGTGTCTGTGTATTTGTTTGCAGAGGAAGTCCGCTTTGTGGCAGATGAGACCGTTCCACCTGAGCGCAGTCAATAAAGAAGACACTATGATATTTGTTGAGCTTTTAACAGGCTTTTAAACCCTTGTTGTCTGCTGTTAAATGATTTCTGAAGATCTGCCGATATGGAAGGAAAAACACTTTGAAGTTTCCTCCAGCTTTCTAAGTCGCAAATGTGAAATATTTTATAAAATGTCATATTTAGCTTTTTTTTCCCCCATATCACTGCCACAGTTTAATTGCGCCACAAATTTAAAGATCTACTTCCGAGAATGGTTGTAAACAGGCTTAAAATGCCCCACAGCCTTTTACTGTTTCCGACTGTGTTCTGTGACATCACATCTTGTCGGCCCCTTTATTGCAGGAGCCTTTCTCTGACGTCAGTGGCATCAGAAGGTTTACCCCTGATTGGTCAAAACTGAAGTCATGCTGGTACTGAGACTCACTAATCGCAAAATTAGCATTGTAATTACGGTAAGCGTCTGTCTCAAACACATGGATGTGATCTTTCACTCCTATACGATAAAAATCTTTTGTGAAATCTGTCGTGTTTTATAGCTCTTGACAGTGGAAAAGAGCACTTTGCCCTTAGTAATCTTATGTTATCTTGAATGTTATATTACCTTGAATTCTTTTTGTTAGAATAAACTGGAAATGGTTTCATCGGTTGCAGTCAGTTTGATTTCAACCCTTGATATATATTTAAGTCACTAATTGTAGTTGCAGTCATTTTGATTTATTGCTAAAATGCAGCAGGTTTTCAATCGAAAACAGTCTCATGAGAAAACTCACTCATTGACACTGCTTAATTTATATGGAATATTGCAGTTTATTATAAATTATTTATTTGCACACATCAATAAATTCATGTGCCCTCGTAATCTTTAATCAAAATAACTTCCCCTCCCTCTTGGAGTGACGTCTCTTTTCTTCTCTGATGATGTGTTTACTGGCCCGAGGGCGGGGCAATCTGTCACTCACATGAAATCGACCAATAGCAAACCACAACCATCCAATCAATTACCCATGGACAAAATCAAGCCCCGCCCTACATTTTTTCTTGTTTGCGAAGTGGCTTCACTCAGATATAAGTCGCAATAGGGAAGAAAAGACTATCGCAACTTCCGTTTCATGCAAACTATTTTACAATGTGGCGATTTCGTATGAATTCGGACAGTTATTTGGACGAAAACGTACTTGTTTTTGAAAAAAGTAACCACCACTAAAGCTAACTATCAGTGGGGGATAAGCAAGCAGATCATATGAAAACGTATTGAATGGAATCGTACAAATACAAATTAGTCACCCAATCATAAAAGATGGATAGATAGACAAGTGAGATTGCAAGAAAAAACATTCAGAGAACATAATGTTTTTATAACCAAATGGGAACATATGTTTTCATAACCAAATGGGAACATTTGCAAAACATTCTAAGAACATATTTTTGTTTGCTGAAGCCTCTTTGAATTAAAGAATCTGTCAAATGCATAATGAAGCATAAAATGTTTATGTATATAAGCTCTTTAGATAATAAAAATTGCCAGGAAATTCCTGTCATCGATATTCCCTGCAGCTCGGTCCGGCTAGTTGTCCAACAGTTGTTCTTTCCTCTGTGGCTTTAAATTAAGTGCCAACACCGTAAACAGCCATTGACTGTCCACAAACCACAACTACACAGTGCACGACTGCAATCCACGGTTATGAAACATCATTGAACACCACACCCAAAGGAAGCATATGCTTAGACACCAAAATAAACAAATACACTCTCTGACACTCTTTCAAAGAACACAGAAACGACGAGGAATGGAAAATCAATGCAGTACATCATGCTTTATGCCAAAAATAAGTGTTCGCCATATTTCTGAATCATAAAATTTGGAAATAAATGTCTAATGTGGGAGGAAGTCCATTTTGACTTAATCAAACTGTTTATACAAAGTAGAAACATATGCGAGATCTAATTTCCAGTTTGGCCTACACATGATTTTAAGAATTGCTTTTAAAGATTTAATTAATTAAATTACGTTCAGATGTTTTTGGTGTAGTATTTGTGTTATCAAATCCTTAAATTGAATCAGGGAATTTGATTTCATAATGGGGCATGTGGACGGCAGTAGAGGTCTAACACACGCTTCATTTCCTTTCAAACAACTCGAGGGGGAAGTGCGCCTATGTCACCTCTCATATTATTTATTATTTGCTTTATCAATGACTATCATAAATGTAATGGTCTGAGAGGCAAACATGGGCCCTGCTGTAAACGTGTCAGAAAACAGGCCGTTACAGTGTGTGCGGGGGAATGCCGGCCTTCTATAAGGTTACATATGGTTTATGGAGAAAATTATGCTATTTTTAGGTTTAAAAAAAAGTTATGCCTCATTTATTCCTATCTGTGCTGATAGTTTATGAAATATTGTGTGAAATGTGATATATGGCCTAATTTTTTTTCATTGCGTTATCAAACATTGCTAATTACTAGGCCTATATGCAGAACATAATGTAAATGTCAATGCTTCGATGGATAAACTAATAATAGAAGCATTTGATTTACTAACAGTTTTAGGTGAAACGCAGGGAGGTCCGATTCATTTAGCGAATCATTTCTTTTTAGCGGTTTTCAATTAGCCTAATCGAATCAGAAGATCGATTCATGAGCCAGTCATTACTCAAATTATGAGTAGTCTCTAATTTTACGTTTGTAAAACAATAGTTAATAGTTGTTAGTAGAACATGTTTTGTAACAAACAAGTAACAAACCAGTTAGGCTACCAGTTGGTAAAGCTGTTTTTTTTTTTTGGTCCGTGGTTTGGACTGGTCAATGAAATAACCTAGCTCGAAAAACAATCTATCATGTCGCAAAACACAGCTAGAGTTGAAACTGAATAACAGGGAACAGTATTTCGAACATTATACGACTGTTAATTATTAAAATCATTAATCATTTCCAGTATTTTGCATGATCTTTTCGACGAGGTCATTAGTCATTGATGTGAATCGTTTCAAAAGAATGACTCGTGAATTGTGAATCACTGATAATGAATATAGCCTACGCTTCATCCTCACATGGTTCATGTGATCATGCAAATATAGAACATTTAATAAAACGCATGTAAAACGATCTGTATTGCATGCATATTTGAGGAAACTGGAATGATGGTGTGTTGTGAGGGAAAATTAAACTTGAGGAAACTTTTTTTTCTTTAGTGCACAAAACGTCATACCAGCTGCTAATTACTCTGACATTCATTACGGAGAAATTACTGTCTTACTGATTAAGTAACCGCGTTTTAGAGGAATGCGAACTTTAATCTGTCTCCACTTTATTGTTTCCTTAACAAGCAAAGTTGAGGTAATATTTAACACTCCTGCTCTGTTCGACTCTCGAGAGCGTCCGCGCGCGCAACAGAGACAGAATTGCGCTGGATAATAACGGAATTCTGAACCAAGACTCGCGCATTTCACTCTAAGATGGTCAGTAAGTGTTAAATAGTGCAAATATTGTGTGCGCAGTTTGGAAATTGCGCTTTTAACTTCTAGAGAGTTGTGCGTAAAAGCGCATTTGGAGAGTAGGCTACCTATCATAAGGTGTTGTGTATGTTGTCTTGTATGATTTAAAAGCGGGTTTTATTTGATTTGGTTATTTTTGTCATGTTTTAGGAAATTGGAAAATGGCTTCTGGCAGCATTTGGGATCGTAGTGATCGTTGTCTTAATAGCTGTTCCAACTGCAATTTTCCTCAACGGTAGGTGATTTTATATGGATAAATCCATCTGGGTTTATGTAGATACGTTTATAAATATGCCTTATGAAATCAAGATTTCTGATTCATAGCTCTGTTACTTCATGTTGAACTTGTAAATGTCCAACTGTTAGTCATTGATTATAAGTGTCACTCCTCTCCATGAAGTAATGTTATAGGTAGTAGGCAGTGGCGGTTCTAGCCCATTTCAACTGGGGGGGCCAAGCTGGGGCCAGTTGTACTGTTAGAGGGGCCAGTTACATTTAGACCTTATTGTTGTCATATCATTTTCTGCACTGCTGCAGGCATTAACAGGGAAAATACCGTGTTTATAATCATTCAACAATGTATTTGCATTTCCATTATATTTTTACATTTGCATTACATATTCAGTATTAGTCACAGTAACTGTAATAGACATGATGTCCTTCTTTCTCTTCATTTTGAGAACTATAGAGCAAAAGCAATGGGGACCAAGAAGCTTATTAATTCATTTACTGAAAATAACTGACTTGATATGTCTAACCGTTTACAGGGTTCCTGCACACTTTTTAGAGTCCAATTTAAGGCTTTTTAAGACCTAAAGAAATCAAAATTAATACCGTACATTAGAGGTGTGCAATATTGACAAAAATATATTTCAACATTTTCAACATTTTGTTAATAATTAGATAATATTTTACTGATTGTGTTTTTGTGCTGGTGCCATGGCTGGTTTAGGCCTGTTGTTGACAGCTGACTCACGAAGATATTAATATTTTTCATATTCTATGCAGTGGTCGATTCACAGCAGTGACAGAAATACATTTTTTAATTAAGGGGCAATTTTTGCCACCTTAAATTGATTTCCAGGGGCATTTTCACCTATATATGGACATTTTTTCTAAACTTATTTAGAGTTATGCATCACCTTTTATGTCAAATACTAACATTCAAATTATACAGTAATTATACTTATTTATACAATAATACTTAATTATACAATAATTATACAGTACCACTGTTACCAGTCAAATTAATTAATTCAATCAAAATCCATCTTTGCAGTGCAGAGGTGACACAGAAGTGGCATTAATATATTTACACTCCATTTACAATTGCATAAATAAAGCTATGAGATTTTTTTCAAATCAATATTTAAATATGAAATTATTTCTAAGTTTAACGTTTTAATTAAAGGATACTTTAAATATGAAACTAAAACCGCCAGTAGGCGGCGGCAAGTCCCTGTAAGAGGGATTCATTCATTCAAACGATTTGTTCAAACGGCCGATTTATTCGGGAAAGAAGCAAGTGATTCGTTCAAAACGCGGATTTCAGTCAAGAAATCATCGCTGTGTTGCATTGAGACTCACTACGGTTTCATTATGAAATTCTAGTCGGCGAAATAAAGGGAAAACAAACAATATTGACAATATTGTGTCTAAAAAGTAACTCCCAATGTTAACTTATTGTTAATTTAACTGTTGTATAACATAAATATCACAGTTGCAATTGTGCACGGGAAAACGGCACTCTTGCTGATGTGATATTCTAATATAAGAACATAATATGATATAAATATAAGACAAAAACTAATTTGGGGACATAGCCTACCTATGAACTGCACACAGCAGTGAAAGGACGATAGACAAATGCTATGTCAGCTCACAGTGCCTCGTACATACCGTGAAACTTCAAATAATAGCCGAGTCCCGAATAGACGCCTGTCTCTTTTACACGCCTGATGTGGCGACAGGTTTGGGTACATAAAGGCCGGTCTCAAATAGAAGCCGGGTCTGTTTTTAGTTTCGGGTTGTATTTTATCTTCTAAAACCCGTCAGAGCGTCCGCTTGCTGCGCTTGACAGTGCATAACGAGCAGAGAGAGAGAGAGAGCGCCCCGGCCGCGCGCGCGCACTCACCTCTTCAAACATT